TCTCTGTGTTTTGAGCCTGCAAGCCTTGACTTAGGCCTTCCTCTGTACAATAGATGTCTGTGTCCTTTCCGACTTATGGCGACCCTATCCCAGGGTTTTCTGGGCAAGATCTGTTCAGAGGCTGGTTCAGCCTTTGTCTCCCTCTGAGGCTGAGAGAGTGTGACTCGGCCAAGGTCACCCGGTGGGTTTCCATGGCCGAAGGGGGATTCCAACCTCGGTCTCCAGAGTCGTAGTCCAGTGCCCAAACCACTACCCCACGCTGCCTCTCTTTCTCTTTAAGAGTGTATTTACTGGGAGAAGAGAAATGAAGAATACAATGAGAGTGCCATCTGCTGACAGTTTAAAAATGATAATAATTAAATGATCCTCCAGATCAAAGCGGCATCGTTGTTTAAATGGGTTTAATGCTCTGTTTCTTTTATTTTGGGTGGCTTTGTGTCTCTTTTGTTCTGACTGTTTTGTTTGCCATTGCTATTGTTTCTTTTTCTAAAAAATAAAAAAACTGATACTTAAAAGACAAACCCTGCATCGTTGCACAACTCTCTAGATTTTGTTGGACACACTAATGCTGGTTTGGGGATGATGGGACTTGCAATCCAGGAACACTGTATTTTGCCCCATCTGTAGGAAGGTATCCAAACTTCTTCTTTATTCTTAGCACTCTTTTCACATGGCCTAACTCAGCAATTTTGGGGACTTCAACTCCCAGAAGCCCCAGCCACCTTGGCCAGCACTCAGGAATTCTGGGAGCTAAAGTCTGGAGCATCAAAGTTTGGGAACCACTGGCCTAACTAGAACCAAACACGAAATTGCCCCCTCCTTTCTTAACGGCAAGGGTGGGGACCATGTCACCCTTAAGAAGTCATTGGACTGCACCTCCCAGCATTCCTCACCATGGGCTAGCTAGGGGCAGGCTGCTGGGAGTTGCAATCCAACCATGTCAGCTGGAGAGCTGCAGAATCCTACCTTTATTCCAGATGGTGAAAACAGCTACCATTGTTTATCTAAGGCTGCATCTACAATGCAGAATGAATGCAGTTTGATACCGCTTTAACTGCCACGGCTCCATCCTATGGAACTCTGGGTTCTCACAAAACTACAAATCCCAGGCTCCCATAGCATTGAGCCATGGTGTCAAACTGCATTGATTCTGCACTTCAAGCATGCTGGTAACCTTCATTTCCTAGAAGGAACGAGTCCCAGATTTCAGTGCTTTGGAGCATCTTTGCATAATGCCCTGGAGAGACATAGCATCCGATGCACTGTGGAATATCAAAACGGCGACTCCTTGGCTGGAGCATTGTCGGTGCATAAGTTCACAGCATTGTGCACAGATGTTTTTATTTTTATTTTTCCAATGCACAACATCCACATTCAGTTCAGGTTTTCTAGGAGAAGAGTTGTGCACGGAGGAGGCACATGGGGTTGCCATGTGTGTTGAGACCTTCTGATGCACACTTGGTTGTGCAACATTGCCGTTCAACACCAGGGATGTCTAGCACCATCACGGCTTCGCTCAGCATGTGGGGATTCACCCTCCACCAGCCATGACTGGTAGCTCCCATGTCAGGGGATGATGGTGAATCCACTCCCAAGTTTTAGATGGTTTTCTGGGAGCTCTCCATGGTGCTGTACCTGTTGGAGGAAAGATAACCCAGAATATACCAGTGGCTTGAGCATTGGACTATGACTCTGGAGACCAGGGTTCGATTCCCTGCTCGGCTATGAAGCCCACTGGGTGACCTTGGGTAAGTCACACTCTCTCAGCCTCA